TTTTTTAATATTCCCTTGTAGAATTAATAACTTAAAACTTGTATACTATTAAAAATATGGACTATTAGCTAAGATTTTATGCTATTATAATTGGTATAACATAAACAAAAAGTTGTATAATAAAATTTTGAATGTAAGACACTTAAACCTTGTATCATGAGCAGTAAAAGATACCCAGGATGATAGAGTTAATGTGGTTCTCCATTTCCTTACTTTATCTCCATTTGAACCTATTTCCTCGTGCTCCATAATTCACCTTGCCCATAAAACATATTTCCTTCTTCTCTTAGCCTGTGGACATCGACGGTCTGATTTGTTCGCCATTGACATTTCACACATTTTACCACCACACCTATCTGCTCCTTTATCTGGACTGTTCCTTCCTTCTATTTTTCATCTCTACCCTTGTTCTGATCCGGACAGACATCTATGTCTGGTCCGTACCCTTCATTGCTATATTGCCCGCACGGCTTCCTTCCATGGTACCCATTCCAAACTCTTTATCTCTTGGCAGTCTTCCTCTGTTCGTGATCTTTCCCCTTCTACGCTCACCAGTTTGGTTTGATGTTTGATTCAATTAGCTTATTCCTCCTTGTCTTCTTCCCACTAGAATTAGTTCAAGGTATCTTCTCATCAGAATCGACACCTCACCTTTTCCCTCGCATCTTGTCCTTTTTAGCCATTCAAGGAAATCTTACAATTGGGCATGTGGACTACACCTAATACATTCATCTCCCATCATTTACACCATATTGTGGTTTCTTCTTCGTTGGGTTTTTGTCTTCCACCCATGGCCAGCTTGCTTCAATTATCCTTTATAGGGATCCCTCTCTTTGGCGAGTGGTACCTGACCAGGTATTCTTCAACCCGAAATCTGCACTCTACAGCCACGTTGACTCACACTGTACCTTCCATAGCTTTGCAATGCTCACCATTGAGATGGGGTGTTCCACAAGATCACTTGTAGATGAATAACTTGCGATGTAATTGCTTCATAAGCTTGCCCATTCTGAACCGTATCACCCATGGACTGCATGGGTAAAACAGAAGAGGGTAACTGCCCATCCCTGCCATGCCTTGTATTAAATAAATTGGTATGGTCTGTTTTCAAAATAGGGCTTCGTGGTCACCCATTGCACTGTCTCAGATCATGACATTCCTCCGGACTCTCCACCACATTCTCATCCCCTTTCTTCTAGTGGAGTATGGGAGTCCTTGCCACTTTCCAGTTCCAAGCTGCTGGGGTGGTCGACCATGGAGGCACCCTCCTGAATGGGTTCCACATAAAGATGGCTATAACCATTCAGTGCAGAGTAGGGCGGTGGTGTTCTGTAGGTGTAGATGACATCATATCTTCCACTATGCATTATACAATCAAGAAGGAGTGAGACATCAAATTGCAGTTCACCCTTTCGCTGGGTTTTGGATTTAGAGTAGAACCAATCAACATCAGTCCTCACTCATGTTTATGGTTGTCTAAATTCCTCCCTTGATTATACTCCTTCTGTATTGTGAGTGACAGGTAATGGGAATTGTTCTGGTTCTGTCCTTTTTGCTATCTCTTGTGTATCTTATTCTGAAGGTGTTATTACTTTTTGGATGTTTCCAGTCAGTTTCACTGTTGAAGGAGTTTACATTTAATATCCCAGATTGATACATCAAAGCTAACACACGTGTCATGTTCTTGAGTCAGAGTGATTTCCTCTATCTTGAACTTGAGGTGAAGACGGTATGATCCTCATCTTACCCCCACATTCCCAGTGACATGGGGTTTGAATGTAGTTGACCTACCGAGTATGGTCCATTGTGCCCTAGCCACTCTGCAACTAAGGGCACATCCATTAATTTACCCACTTTCATACTTTGTGGGATTTAGGTCCATATTTATTTTAGGGTTAGGATCACTATCCTGCTTCAGTTCTTTCCCACTTGGATGTGCTCCTCTCTTTTTCCACCCTTATCTTCTACACACTTCACAGATGGGTGAAGAGTATACCTGGTCAGGGTGTGGATCCCCTCATCAGATGTTTGGATCTCACTCTCTCACTTCCAGCGGTATCCTTCGAACACTTTTGGGGAGTACTTCTGTCATTCCCTCGCACTGGTCCCTCCACATAATCAATGTGGTATTCTAGATAATCTTGTAAGCAGAAGGAAGTACCATATCGAAAGTTATAATTTTCCTATACTGAAAATATATTTCCGATAGGTACTTCCCTCCTCTCATACTTCCCACCCTTCTTTCCCATTTTCCTCTGATACTTACTTCTTCTGCCAAACATCGAAGTGATCGTTTGGTAGAGGCATATAGAAGGAGTCACATAGGTATGTCATGCTCCTGTTGGTGGAGAAGTGATGCATGATGATTTGCTTGTGCCATGCGTAAAGAACAATATTTGCATATAGAGGGCAGCACTGTGCAAGAATAGCTAAACCTTGCGAGCGGAGGGAAGTACCTATCGGAAATACACTTTCAGCATAGGAAAATTATAATTTCAGACTAGCAATTTTGATTGTAACCGAAACTACATTTGGTGAACTACTTTCTGCATGACACAATGGCTGCCATATTGATTAGAGGTCATCATCGTTCAATGGCACACTGTGAACACATCTCAGTTTAGCCAGTTTTGTCAATACAAATTAACTTTTATTGTCCAATTTTATAAACAAAGATTCAATGTATGGCATCAACCCACTAACAGCCCCTCATGGATACTTGTGCATTTTTCAAACATGAAGGACTGACACATATTAAATCAGTTCTTCAGTAAAATTCAGCATATTGTGAAATGTAAAATATAGTGCATTAGTAGTTAATTTAATTGGAAAATAACTATAAGTCAATCAAACACTTTTCAATAAAAATATGTTATTTGAGGAATTAAACCAAGTAATATGAGGTTGGCTACATACAACTTGAAGTTAATAAAGCATGGATTATAATCTTAAGAGTGTTTGATGTTTTTAATCTACACTTTGATCTGAAAAATTCTTAAATTTAGACCTTTATGTAGGAGTATTTGGCAAATCCATATTAATTAAAGTTTATCCATTAGAAATATTAATGTATAATTTTTTTATATATTTACTTGATTCTTAGATTCAAACCTAACACACCCAAATCAGAAAACGTGGAAGGGGGTAGAGGGTCATGTGGATCAAATGTTTCATCTCAGTCAAGCGATGGCAACTCAACACAACAACAGCAGCCAGCCCCTCATCAACACCAACAATATCTTGGTGATGCTTCTGCTGCTATTCCAAATCTGGTTCTGGATTCCAGCAGTCTCAGTCTTCCAGATGATGTTGAAATAGAAGATGTACATGCCTTTAGGGTTCTTTACAGAGAACACTGTGAGGTATGTATTATTTTGATATTAAATGGTAGTTATATATGTAAAACATGCTGTATTTGAAAGTCACCGTATCAGGTTTTTTTTTCTCTAAATAAGGAATTATTTCAAAGTAAGTTTAAATTATTTTATGAGAAATTGTTACAGACATACATGTTAAACTGTTGTTGTCGTAATTAAATTATTAATGATTGAATTGATTACATCTTTTGAGATTTTTTTTTTATAATGATGCATGAATTGATAAATGCTGAGAAATAATTTTGTAGTTATTACTAATTAAATATTAGATTTTTTTAAAGTAATTTAACAATGATGATTTGTAGATTATCAAGCAACCGTATTCTGAAAGGTTCATGGGAATAAATCAACAAATCACGTGTTTCTTTTTTTTTTTTTTCCATTTTTATGGGGCCCGGCATGGCCAGGTGGTTAGGGCGCTCAACTCGCAATCAGCTATTTGCGGGTTTGAATCCCCGTCTCACCAAACATGTTCACCCTTTCAGCTTTTTTTCTTTTCCATTTTATGGGGTCCGGCATGGCCAGGTGGTTAGGGCGCTCGACTCTCAATCAACTGGTTGCGGGTTCGAATCCCTGTCTCACCAAACATGTTCACCCTTTCAGCCATGGGGCATTATAATGTAATGGTTAATCCCACTATTCATTAGTAAAAGAGTAGCCCAAGAGTTGGCGGTGGGTGGTGATGACTAGCTGCCTCCCCCATAACAAACAAACAAGTCATTTTATGGTTTTTCAAATAATCTTTTTGAAATAAAAGTGTGTTTACTTAAAGCTTTGGAATAGATTAGAAACTTAATCGTAGAACAGTTATTTGTTTGATTTAGCACAAAGATACATAATAAAGTATTTGTGCTCTATCTTCTGCATGAAAATTGAATTTTGTAATTTAGCATTATAAGTCCTTAAGCTTACTATTAACAGACCTTGATAACTTGACCATTTTCTGATATTAAATAGAAATGAAATTTATTTTTCCAAAGCATTTGACTCCCTTTCCTTCTTAATACAAATTTATTTACTTATGAGATCCTTCCTGTTTTTGGTACTGTTAGAGTTTGCGTATTAACTGTAGTTTCTATAATAGAGAAATTTATATTTGTATATAAAACCTTTTTTTTGTTTGACAGCTGAAATTTGTATACTTCTCTGTTTCAGGCCTTCCTGGATGCTGTTATTACTCTTCAATTCTCGATGATAGAGACTTTATGGAGAACTTTCTGGAGAACACAAACCAATGGCCTTGGGTAAATTTTAAGCATTTTGGTGAATTACTGTTTTTCCTACTTCCTCTCAACAATAGTTGTTAGTTTGGTTACCGTATATTTCGGTGTATAAGATGCACTTTTTTTACCGCAAAATTTGATGTCAAAATCTGCTTGCTTCCTATACACCGAAGGTATGAATAATATATATGTATATATATATATACGATATACA